CACGTAAAGCACAATAAAATTAAAGACAAACAACAACAAAAGAAATGAGCTATCAAGCCACAAAAAGATACGGAGAAACTTTAAATGCATATTGCTAAGTAAGAGAAGCCAGTCTGAAAAGGCTACATACCGTATGATTCCAATTATACGACATTCTGGAAAAAACAAAAGTTATAGAGACAGTAAAAAATCAGTGGTTTTCAGGGGTTCAGGGGGAAAGATGAATAGGTGGAGCACAGGGCAACTATTCTGCATGATACTGTAAAGCTGGATACGTAACATTATCCATTTGTCAAAGCCCACAGAACTGTACAGCACAAAGAGTAAAACTTACGATACACAAAAACAAAAACAAACAAAAAGAATAATTTAGAAAGTTGGAAGATCCCAGGAAAAAATGAAAACTATGAGAAGATAATTTACTTGTATTACAAATGGAGGAGGCAACCTCACTGAAGAGGGTGAGGGAAAATCAGAGCTGACCTAAGTAACTTGGAAAATGAATGGATTTGTAATACTAATGGCAAAAACAAAAAAACTGTGAATATACATTGCCGTCTAGTTGATAGTTGTTTCCCAGGTGTGATGGTTAAGATTGTGTGTCAGTTTGGCTGGGCCATGACTCTCAGTGTTTTGGCAATCCTGTAATGTGCTCACTTCCCTGTTGAGACTGGGATCTGCTATGAGCAGCCAATTGGTTGAAGGGGAGTTTCTCTGGGTGTGTGGCCTGTATCGAATCTGGGCGGACGTTCTGGCAGAGCTCAGGGGCTTTTACTCGGTCTGGATCCTGCAGCTGGCTCCTGTTCGTCTGATCTCTGGTTCTTGAGACTTGAGCTAGCAGCTTACCTGCAGTCTTGCCTGTTGATCTTGGGATATGTCAGTCTTCACAGCCTGTGAGCAAGAGCCCTGCTCCCCACCCTGCAGATCTTGGGTTTGCCAGCCCCTGAGGCTACACGAATCAGGAGAAGCCTCTATCCTGACCCATGGACTTGGGACGTTACACCCTCTACAACCGCTTGAGCCATTTCCTTGATATAAATCTCTCTCTCTCTCTCTCTCTCTCTATATATATATATATATATACATTCATATGCTTTACTGGTTGTGCTTCTCTAGAGAACCCAGCCTAACACACCAGGGTACGGGTTAACAGTTCTGATATCCTATGCATGTATATTGGAATTGAACAATTACGTAAATGGATAGTGGATAATAAGAGTCTGATTTCTTAATGCTGGAGTGGAGATTTACAGATAAGCAACGGGAGAGGCTAGAATAATCCATGTGTTAATAGATTGAAGCTGCAGACATCAGCAAGAACTCATGTTTAATTTAATATAGATACAGAAAGAAATATTTCTTGTTGCTGTTATGTGCCTTCGAGTTGGTTCTGACTCGTAGCGACCCTATAGGATAGAGTAGAACTGCCCCGTAGGGTTTCGAAGGAGCAGCTGGTGGATTCGAACTGCCGACGTTTTGGTTAGCAGCTCAACTCTTAACCATTGCACCACTAAGGCTCCAAAGAAATATTTAAATATGTGTATATACACAGGTTAGTATTGTTGTTAGTTGTTAGGTACCGTAGAGCCACTTCCAGCTCATAGTGCTTCCATGTGACAGAGTAGAACTGTAGGCTATACTAGGCTGCAATCTTTATGGGGGAGCTCTTGTGGTGCAGTGGTTAAATGCTCAACTGCTAACTGAAAGGTTGGCAGTTCAAACCCACTAGCTGCCCTGCAGGAGAAAGATGTAGCAGTCTGCTTCATAAAGATTACAGCCTTGGAAACGCTATGGGGCAGTTCTACTCTGTCCTACAGAGTTGCTGTGAGTCAGAATCGACTTGATGGCAATGGGTTATTGGTTTTGTTTCATCTTTACAGAAGTAGATTGCCAGGTCTTTCTCCTGCAGAGCCACTGGTGGGTTCAAACCACCAACCTTTCAGTTAGCAGCCAAGCACTTAACCGTTTGTGCCACATATATTTCCTTGCTCTAGCACTTAACTGTTTGCACCACCTATATCTCCTTGCTCTGTCAGCTAACAGGGCCTAGATGTAATCACACCCCAGTAGCAACAAGTACACCTAGGGCCCAGATCTTGAATTCTTATACCTTTCTCAAGTAAAAGGCTCCTTGGAAAATTGGCTGGTTCTAGGACTGGGGCAGGAGACAAACAAGATGAGTCTGGAGTATCTTACAGTGCAAGAAAGTAAGGCAGTGCTCACAAAAAACAAACAAACAACAACAAAACTACAATAATGGGGTATGTTCAAGGGACACAGGAGCCAAATGAAAGAGCTCCCAATGGCCAAAAGTGGAATAATTTGAGCAACAAATAAAGCAGTATTTGATTATAACCCAAAATATAAAATAAATATCCATGAGTCCATAACCAGTTGATGTCAAGTCAACTCCAACTAATGGAGACCCCATGTGTGTTAGAAAAGAACTTTGCTCTATAGGGTTTTCAATGGCTAATTTTTCAAAGTAGATTGCCAGGCCTTTCTTCCAAGGTGCCTCTAAGTAGACTCAAATCTCCAACCCTTCTGTTAGCAGCCAAGCATGTTAACCATTTGCACCACCCAGGGACTCCATACTGATATAAATAAAGGATTAAATAAATTAATAAATTAAGAGGAGACAAACCTTCCATGCAGAAGAATTCCAAATAAATTATGTAGATACACTGCCATGACTTGGAATCAACTCGAAAGCAACTAACAACTCCACCCTAAAAAAGGGGAAGCCTAATTTCCCACACCTAAATGTGGGCTGCACATAGTGAGTTCCTTTCAAAAGTGTAGTATGCAAAGTCAAGGGAGAGGGGATAACTTTGCAGTGAACAACCTGACAAATATTACTTCAGCCAGGTGATCACTGTCAATATCAACAGTCATGAATCATGTTAATAGTATGTACCACTGATGATATGATGTGGTGAAAATGGCACTCTAGCTCTGTAATCTTCCTCCCCAAAACTCATAACCCCAGTCTAATCATGAGAAAAACAACAAATTTCTATAGAAGGACATTCTACAATAGACCTGACAAGTACTCCGCAATACTTTCAAGGTCAAAAACAAGGAAAGTTTAAGACACTGTCACAGCAAGAGGAACCTAAGGAGACATGACAACTAAATATAATGTGGTATCTTGGATGGGATCCTAGAACAGAAAAAGGACATTAGGTAAAAACTAGGGAAATCTGAGTAAAGTATGGACTTTAATTAATAATAATTATCAATATTTGTTCATTAATTATAATAAATGTACCATACTAGCAAAAGATGTTTAATAATTGAGGAAATAGTGTTGGGGATGGAGTAGGACAGGATGCGTAGTATGAGAAATCTCTGTATTGTCTGCTCAATTTTTTCTGTAAATGTAAAACTATTTTAAAAACTGAAGTCTTTAAAAAAAAAAAAAAAGCCAGTTATTTTAGGCTATCAGTTGCAGAGGAAATGAATCTTAACTAATATACTTTCTCCCAAAAAATTCATATGTATAAAACATTCAAAGTCTTACATACAGTTTTGGAGGGCTCATAAGACACTGCCTCCTTTTCTCCTCTAGGTCATTCACAGATTATCAGGCCTTATAATAGAGGAAAGGGGAGCTCAAAGAAGTGTTTTGGGAATGTTGTTATATGTCTTGACCAAGCACCTAACTCACAAGGGGCACTCAGCTGGGCAATTTCATAATTATCTTATGTAATCCTCAAAATGCTATGAGGCAGGTATGATTTCTCACCCGCCTGCAGGTGGGAAAACTCAGGTCCAAATATAGTAAATGGATGACCCAATCAACCACTTTGGAAGTAGCAAAGCTGGAATACGATTCAGATCTGCAGAGTCCGAACCCAGCAGCTCTCTCCTTTCCTAGCTACCTCTCAAAGCTACCTCTTCAGTAAAGATTGACTGTCCACACATAGGTGAATTATATAATAATTACTATTGTTATCTTTAAGGAGCCCAGGGTCACAACAATTCACAGCTGGGCTTCTAACCCAAAGGTCGGTGGTTTGAACCCACCAGCTGCTCCGTGGGAGAAAAAACCTGGTGATCTGCTCCCATGAAGATTACAGCCTTGGAAACTCTATGAGACAGTTCTACCATATTATATACGGTTGCTATGACACAATAACAAGTAGCTATTTTTTACTGTTGTTGTTGTTAGCTGCCATTGAGTCAGCTTCTGACTCATGGTGACCCCATACACAACAGAACTAAATGCTGACCAGTTCCGCATCATCTCCATGATTAGTTGCAGATTGGACTGTTGTATTCCATACAGTTTCCACTGGCTGATTTCCAGAATTAGATTCCAGGCCTTTCTTCCTAGTCTGTCTTTGTCTGACGCTCTGCTGAAAACTGTTCAGCATCATAGCAACACACAAGCCTCCACTGACAAACGAGTGGTGGCTGTGAATGAGGTGCATTGGCTGGGAATAGAACCCAAGTCTTCTGCATGGAAGGCAAGAATTCAAACGCTGAACCACCAATGCCCCCCATCTTTTACTGAGCACTTACAAAATGCTAAGCACTTTACCTACATTTTTTATAGAATCCTCCCCACAATCCTCCTAAACCAAAAAAAAAAAAATAACCCCGTTTCTGTTGAGTCAATTCCGACTCATAACAACCCTATAGGACAGGGTGGAACTACCCCATAAGATTTAATTCTGTAAATCTTTATGGAAGCAGAATGCCACTACTTTCTCCCGCGGAGCACCTGGTGGGTTCAACTGCCGACCTTTCAGTTAGCAGCCAAGGGCTTCACCACTATGCCACCTATCACCTGCTTATCAGGAAGGGCACTGAGGTTCAGAGTGATCAATAACTTCCTTGAGGCTTCCCAGCTGTCCATGGAAGCCTAAGACTCAAACCCATGTCTTTCTTACTCCTGGGCCCATGCTTTAAACCTCCACTTCATTTGGCCCATCTACATGACCTCAACCTCCAGCACTATGGGAACCATAGGAGCACTGTCCTCAGGTACTCACCCACAACCTCCAGCCAGACCCATCCCTGTGCCTTCTGAGGGGTGACTACCACCTCACACCGGTATGCTCCTGCTTCCTCCAGCTGCACCCCAGGTAGCTGCAATGAAGCATCCCCCTTCTTCAGCCTACTTAGAGACACAGTGGCTCCAGGTCGGATTGGATTTTGGTGATCTCCAAAAAACTCAAATATTTTGACCTCCTCTGAAGATTCCTGACTTTTCCAAAACCAGGTGATACCCATAATCCTGATGTCCAGGTGTGGAGAACCAGGAATCTTGCAGAAGATGGTGGCATTGGCATTCAGCAACACGATCTGAGTCCTTCCTGCCATCTGCACTTCCAGGAAACCTGCAGCAGTAAGAGAACTCAGTTATGGAAGACCCTTGAACAAAACACAGGCCTAACACTCTCAAACACTACCACATAATTGAAAACAAATATCTTTTTCTTGGGGGGGGGGTAGGTTTTGGGGGAAGAGAGGGTTAGACCTCAGGTACAGGGGCCCTCAGTTTATGGCCTCTCACTGGGGTCCACATAAAGTCCCTGTCTTCTTTCATTTATTTATCCTTTTTCAGGGAACAGATTTATTATCAAGATAGACTTCAAATAACATATAATTCACCCATCTTAAGTGTACAATTCAATCATTTTTAGTATCACAGATATGTGTAACCATCATCACAGTCAATTTTAGAACATTTTTATCACTTCAAGAAGAATCCATGTGTCCTTTAGCTATCACTCCTATACCCCTAGTACCAGTACCAGTTGCCACTGAGTCTGTTCCAATTCATGGAGACCCCATGAGTGTCAGAGTAGAACTGTGCTCCACAGGGTTTTCAATGGCTAATTTTCCAGAAGTTGACTGCCAGGCCTTTCTTCTGAGATGCCTCTGGGTGGACTTTCAACCTCCAGACTTTTGGTCAGTAGCCAAGTGTGTTGACTATTAACACCACCCAGGCCAACAATTAATCTACTATCTAGAGATTTCCCTATTCTGGGCTTCCGTATGAATGGAAATATATGTGGTCTTTTGTGACTAGCTTCTTTCATTTAGCATGTTTTTTGAGGTTCATCCATGCTGTAGCATGTATCAGTACTTCATTCCTTTTTATAGCCAAATAATATTCCACTGTGTGGCTATACCACAATTTGCTTATCCATTCGTTAGTTAATAGACATTTAGGTTGTTTCCACCTTTGGTTATGATAAATAATGTTGCTATGTATAAGTTTATGTGTGGACATACGCTTCCATTCCTCTTAAGTATATATGTCGGAGTAGAATTGCTGGGTCACATGGTAACTCTATGTTTAATCATTTGAGGAACTGCCAGACTATTCCAAAGCTGCTGCCCCTTTTTTTATTTCCACCACTAGTGAATGAGGGTTCCAATTTCTCCACATCCTCACCAAAACTTGTTGTTTTCCATTTTCTGATAATAGCTATCCTAGTGGGTGTGAAGTAGTATCTCATTGTGGCTTTGATTTGCATTTCTCTGACGAATAATGATGTCGAGTATTTTTTTTTATATGCTTATTGCATCTTCCTTGGAGAAATGTCTATTCAGATCCTTTGCCCATTTTAAAATTGGGTTATTTGTCTTTCTATTATTGAGTCGTAAGAGTTCTTTATATATTCTAGATACAAGTCCCTTATCAGACATACGATTTGCAAATATTTTCTTCCACTCTGTGGGTTGTCTTTTCTCTTTTTATGGTAGACTTTGAAGCACAAAAGTTTTTTAATTTTGATTAAGTCCAATTTATTTGTTTTTTCTATTGATGCTCATGCTTTTGGTGTCAGATCTAAGAATCTTGCCAAATTCAAGGTCATGAAAGTCTACCTGTATATTTTCTTCTAAGAGTTTTATGGTTTTAGTTCTTACATTTAGATCTTTGATTCGTTTTCAGTTTATTTTTGTATATGGTGTGAGGTAAGGGTCCAACTTCATTCTTTCGCATGTGGCTATCTGCTGTCCCAGCACCATTTGTTGAAAAGATTATTATTTCACCAATGAATGGTGTAATATGAATTGAATTTTGTCCGCCTAAAAGTTATGTTGAAGTCCTAACTTCTGTACCTGTAAATATGACCCTGTTTGGAAATAGGGATTTTTTTTTTTTATGTTAATGGGGTCATACCAGTGTGGGGTGGGTCCTAAACCTAATCTCTTCTCAGTGATATCTTTTCTAAAAGAGCAGAATAAACACACACACACACTCCACATACACATACAGGGGAAGAGACCATGTGCAGAACCATCTACAAGCCAAGAGATGCCAAGGTACACCTGAGGCTACTGACAAGGAAGGACCCTCCCAGAGAGCTGATGTCCTGATTTATACTTCTAGCCTCCAGAACTGTGAGACAATAAATTTCTGTTTTTTAAAGTCATTCACGTGAGGTATTTTTGTTATGGCAGCACTAGGTAACTAAGTCAAGTGGTCTTGGCACCCTTGTCAAAAATCAGTTGACCATAGATGTACTGGTTGATTTCTAGACTCTCAATTCTATTCCATTGATCCATTATGTCTATCCTTGTGCCAGTGCCACATGGTCTTAATTACTATTGCTTTGTATTAAGTGTTGAAATTTAGAAATGTGAATCCTCCTACTTTGTTCTTCTTTTTCAAAACTGTTTTGGCTATTCTGGGTCCCTTGCAATTCCAAATGAATTTTAGAATCAGCGTGTCAACTTCTACAAAGAAGTCAGCTCGGATTCTGACCGGGATTTCACTGACTCTGTAGGTCAATTTGGGGAGTACTGCCGTCTTAACAATGTTATGTCTTTCAATCCATGAACCTGGGATGTTTTTTCATTTATTTAGATCTTCTTTAATTTCTTTCAACAATGTTTTGCTGTTTTCAAGGCATAAGTTCCACACTTCCCTTGTTAAATTTATTCCTAAGTATTTTATTCTTTTTGATGATATTGTAAATGTTATTTTTTTAATTTCATTTTTAGATTGTTCATTCCAAACGTATATATTATTTATGCTTTTCTATTCCCGTTTTCCTCCCCCAACAGGCAACAATTCTAAGGTGTTTAATGTCTACATTTTTGTTCCCTTTAAAACTGTCTTGTTTTGTGTGTGTTTTCTAAAACTTACAGAAATGGTATTGAGTTGTATGTCTCATTGTTTCCCCTCTCAGCACTATGCTTTCAAGATCCTTCCACATAGCTACGTGTACAGATAGTCTATTGCTTGCAGCTGCTACCCAGTTCTCCATGATTAGTATCCACATTTGGCTCATTTAATTCCCACATCCTCCCCACCACCTGATATTGCCCAGTATATTTTGCCCAATGTAATAAGTGTCAAGTGATACTCTCATTGTTGTTTTCATTTCTATTCATCTGGCTAGTCAAGAGTTAAGTATCTCTTCATATGCTTTTCATTCTTTTGGTTTCTTATTCCATATTAGGAAGACATATGTCCACCAGTGATCCCCCAAAAGTAAAAGAGAATGTCTGAATGTCATCATGAGGTAAACCCTCTCCCCTCCTACTCTCAGTAAACACCTTAATAAAGTCCGGATGCTTCGATGATTCAAAGGTGGAGTGTTTTTTTCTCATTCACCCCTCCCTATTTTCTTCCTTAGGTCCCTGGTTGGCCCAAACAGTTTGTGCTCCACCACTAAAGGCTGACCATTGGAACCCATCCAGCAGCACCAAAAAAGAAAGGCCAGGTGATCTGCTTCCCTAAAGATTACAGCCAAGAAAACCCTATGGAGCAGTTCTACTCTGTAATGCACAGGGTCGCCATGAGTGGAATCCACTACAGCAGTGGGTTTGCTTTGGTTTATTTTCTTCCTTAGAGTGATTTCATCACCTAGGGTGATGCAAGAGAGGCACCCAGAGCACAAAATTTAGGGAAGCAGAGTTTCAGGTTCTGCACATATGTCCTGGATTGAATTACATCCCCCCAAAATATATGTTATAAATCCTAATCTCTATGCCTGTGGTTATAATCTCATTTGGGAACGGGTTGTCTTTGTTATGTTAATGAGACAGGATTAGTGAAGGGTGTATTTTGAGTCATTTTCTTCTGAGATATAAAAAAGATTAAACAAGCAAGCAGAGCAGAGATGGGGTAAAACAGATGCCAAGTCACATGGAGCTCTTCAAGGAATCGCGAAGCAGACGCAGAAGCTTTAAAGAGACAAAGACCTGCCTCCACAGCCACAGAGAGAAAGCCTTCCCCTAGAGCTGGAGCCCTGAATTTGGACTGCTTCCTAAACTGTGAGAAAACAAATTTCTGTTTGTTAAAGCCACTAACTTGTATTTCTGTTTTAGCAGCACTAGATAATTAAGACAACATACTAATGCCTCCAATAAATATCTGTTGAATCAATAAATCGCATTTCACAAAGTAGAGCTCAGAGTCGGGACTCTTTACATGCCCAGGCAAGCAGATCCCAGGGAGCCCTGGAGCCGCCTAGCGAGCAGTCACCTAGTGGCAACTACCCATTCATTCCTCCCTGGCATCCCGCGTTTCCCGCGGTCCTACCTGCGAACTGCTGCGCGCACAAGACCAGAACCAGGAGCCGCCCCACGAAGCTCCACGGCCAGTGGGTTGCCAACCCCGCGACCATGTCTACGGCCGGTGGGTCGCCAACACCGCGACCAGGTCTACAGCCTTGCCGGGTGTGGCAAACTGAGCCTGCTCCCGCCGGTCAAGGCCTGCCCAAGACGTCACCGGTATTTAAATTTTTTTTTTTTCCCGCCCCCGGACTGGAGCTAACAGATCAGGAGATCGGAAGACTGGGTGGGCAGAAGGAACGCGTACCGGCCCCGCGTAGACGCAGAGGATACCAAAGTCGTATTAACCTGTGTAACCTCAGCAACTCTGGGAGTCTGAAAACGTAGAAAGGAAGTTAGGAGACGTGGCCGGCGCACCTTAATTCATGGCGCCGAAAGATGCTGGGGCAGCGCAGCGGGAGGACACCCTCTGCTGGACGTAGCAGGGCTATGGTGGCCTGTGGGCATCATCAGAGGTTCGCCGCGGCCTGGGATTCCGAGCCGTCTCTCGGTTCCTTTTGTAAAATGAGGCCGGGATCCAATCCGCCCAGGCGCTGCTCTAAAAAAGGATCCACTAAAGGTGGTGGCCGCGGTTAGTGACAGCCAGAGTAGCGAATGCTTCAGGGTGGCTGCTCTTACCGTAGACATGATAAACTTACATTGCTTCTATCAAAAGTCAAATTAAATCTACAAGACGCTTCAGTTAAAGGTCTCCTCACAGGCGGGGCTTAATTTTTCATCTCCTTACTGCCTGAGAAGTGGCGTGTGACCTCGTCAAACAAATCCTAAAATACTCAGTGATCAAGTTTTACCACCTCCAGACCAGTTTTAAAATCTATTTAACTGCAAAGCTCAGTACACAGGTGGTGTGCTATCATTATAAATGCACACACCTCTTTCCCCAGCATCTTGCGTTCCAGTTATCTCACTGATCCTAATTTTTCCCCCTCTTATCATTAAAAAGCATGTAATGTACAAAAAAGCACAGACAGACCTGGACTCTAGTACTTGCCAGCTCTGCCACCTGTTGTTTATTATTGAACAGTGGGCAAGTTGCCTCATGTTCTCCGGCTAATTTCAATTTCTCTATGATTGAGATAGTAAAACCTTCCTTTGCGGGGCTGTTGTAAGGCTTGTGGAATCAATGCACAGGCAGGGTGTGAAGCAAATCCTCAATAAAGAGTAGACTTATTGCTTAGTGAATTTAGAGTTAGTGGTACTGTCACTGACTAAGCAAATATTTACATTCTCACTTATCTGCAGGAGAACAAACAGCATGCACGATGAAAAAACCATAGAACTGGGAGAGGAGCGGGGTGCTCACACTGGAACCAACTAGCTGAGGAGCCTTCAGAAGGTTACAGTGATTCATGAGAGATGGCAAAAAGAACTAGATGAAATTATATTTTTCCCCTCTCTCACTTATAAAGCACTCGGACAAGTCATAACTTTAAAATCATGTGGAAGATAAATCATTACTCATTTTAAAAAGTTCTGTGAAGTAATAAAATTATAAGAATCATAAAATAGATTTTTTAACACTTTAATTATGAGATATATATTCATAAACCTGGGTAACCTTGGAAAATACACTTATTTACTAAGGATAAAACAAAAGGAGGTAGGCAAATTTGCACAGCAAATCTGTGATTATAAACAAAACAAAGCTTATTTACACAGGCATGCAAACCTTGGAGGGCAACCGGAAGGGTGGGTGTGTAGGGAAAAGTAAACTGTCAAGGGCTGGCTACAACCAAGCTGGTCCATTGCATCCGTCCTCATCAAGAGGATGAGTGACATCAATTAAAATGTATACTAAAAGCTCTGCAGCAAAAGTTGTAGACATCTGTAAACATGAAATGTAGTTGCTTTTCTACATGAATCTATAAACAATTTTTGAAAAATCTAAATTACTAAAATTAAATCAAAGATTTCATTGGTTTGGTTTTGCTTTTGTCTCAATAAACAGCTTGCTGCTGTTGCTTGTTCTAGCTCAGTTCTTAGATTCTCTAAGAAATGATTACTAATTTATAGCTAACTATTCATTTTAAAAGAGAAAATTTTAAAAATAGGCAAAAAAGGCAATCCTACTAATAATAGTTCATTTTTTAAAAAAGCAAGGAAAGACATCATTTCCTTCAAATCTCACATCATGAAAATAAAATCTTTTTACAGGGAAATGAAGACAGATGAATATAAATTCAGTTATTGACAAATTAAAATTACAATCTTCCCATTATATCACTCACAAGGAAAAAAAAGGTAACATTTGCATTTTACTTAATACATCTTATTCTCCCAATTCCAACAAAAACAAATTCATTTAAAAAGTATTCAGTTGAGGCACCAGTGGTTAAGGGTGAAGGTGGACTTCTGTAGCAGGTTCTTCAGGGGATAAAAATCTTGCATGGAAACGATGAAGTTCATCATCTAACTCTGGCTCTTTTTCTATTTCTTCTTGATTGTACTGCACAGCTATAAAACAAAGATTAAAATTCATGCACCAACCAGAACTGGGTTTTCTCTCTATGGAAAATAGATCTCTTTACTCCCTCTTCTATTGTCTCTTCTATCTTAAAAATCACATTATCACAAAATATTGAATTTTTCTTTTTCCTTTTTCCTCATGTGAAAAGCAGATTTGCATTTAGGCCTATAGTAACACAAATCTGTTCAATTAGCATGAACAACAATACTGTTGCAAACAAATCTTTGTTTAAAAAAATGTATAGCCATGTTTCAGAGAATTTTGCATGACTACGTCTAAATCATAATTTTCTTTAAGTGAGAGTTAAATATTTGAGAAGATCATCACCTTTTAAAATCTAATTTTAATAATATACAGCCAACATTTCTATGCCTCATGAAAATTCATATAGAAAATAAAATTCCAAATTACGAATAGTACATAGTACTCAGTCAGATAAATTGAAGACTACTTCTAAAGAAGTATGAAGTAGAATGGTATAAATAAAACATAAGGCCAATACTTTCTAACAGAGCTGGAAAGAATACTATTAGCAATTCTCTCAGAAATAATATTCACTCACAAATGCCCAGTACACACAAGAACTGGCATTCCTTAAGTCCATAAATAATTTTAGGCTAATCCTTCTTTTTTGAATACTATAAATTATAATAATTGGTTAGAAACTGTAAGGTACATCTACATTAATATCCATCTATTATATACACCTCATGCCAAAAAAGCATTTCAAGAAAGTGCTCTAAGCTCTCCTCCCACTGCTTTCTGATTTAACACCAGTCCACCATCTAAAAAAGTTTACCCCAGAATTCCTGTCTTATCACATTTGCTGGTCATAGATAGACGTCATCAACAAAAGGATGTACCAAACAATTTTCTACAATTTAGGCAATAGAGATAGGAATTTTTCTCCATCTCTAAAGAAACATAGTACTATTACTACGTTGAGTGGTTTGTTTTTGTTTTTTTAATTTAAGCTTTACATAAACAGAACTTTTCCAGATTGTTATATTTAATTTTGGGATCCATGATTTAAGAATAAATCTGAAGTAGGTTGGGAGGAGTATGCAATGATTATTCAAAAACTTGTAAAAATTATTAAGGTTAAGAGAAACAAAATTATGAGATATTATGGTAGATTAGTTCACTCAACAGCTTTAAACATACATTCCTGTACAATGGAGGCTGGAAAGTCAAACGCTACATATATCCCAACCGTCCTTGTAGCTAGGGTTCCAGATACGATTGGTCCCATCCCTCAAACGCACTCACTTGAGACTTTTACTCAGAATTGAGTTACATGGGGCGAGAGGCAGGACATGAGGTATCCAATTTTGCTGACACAAAGGGTGGCAGTGGTGCTGTAGCTCTGGAGCTGGCAACTGTTCACAGCTTCCTAATCCAACAGGCAGCTTCCTGATCTGGAAGGCAGCTTCTTGACTGGTCCAGAAGCAGCAGCTCCTTTGGCAGTCCATTCTTGTGATGTGGTTCCAAGAAGCTCAGCCCTGTTTCTTCAGCCCTCCCAAAGATTCTGTGAGCTATGTATACCTCTCAGTAAATCCCTTTCTGTTTAATAGCTAAAGATAATTTCATTGCCTACAACCAAGAATCTTAACCTACACAGAATTTTTGGTAGCTAGAAGTAGGGTACAGAGCAAGTGAAAGAATCTTAAATATGGAGTTGGCTTAGTTGAGGAGGTAGGGCTTTGGACAGTGAGACTTCATGCTAACTGAAATTCAGGTGTTAGAGAAAGTGGTGGTAGAACTTCAGAATGCTAGCATGTGTTGGCTGCTTCTTGCCTTTTTCAGCAAAGTCCTAGAAGAGAGATGTGACTCAGGCTAAGTTAACAAGTCTGCAGAGATGCAAGAGAATATAGCTTTGCTGAGAGAATTGCTGTCTGTTTATAATATAAATTGACAAGAGTCCCAGATCTGGAGTCCTGAAGAACTGAAAAAGTCAACTACTTCTGTACTTCAGACTGAAACAGTTTTCATAAGATTCTAAGAAAGTAGCTTTAGTAGCTTCTTCAACTTTTTTTCAAGAACCTTCCCTTAAGAATCTTTCTGCTAAGTAATAGCAGCCATCCTAGGGAAAAAAATTAGATTAAGACTGTGGCCATCTCATCCAAGCCTATAGTTTAAAATGGTCTCAATTAGGTATCATTCATTTAAGACCCAAGGGGAGGGGAGAGCAAAGAGGCTGCCAAATAAAAGATGAGGTTCTTCCGTGTTGAAAGCTATTATCTTGGCAAGTTCTTTGATTATGGTTACTGACAGAAATGATTGAAGAAAACAGACTAGAAACTTACACTAAGTTTTTAGGAAGTCATTTTGTCAAAAAACAAAACAAAAACAAAAACTCCAAACCTGACCTGCAACAGTTTGTGACTGTTAACTATCTAAAATAATCCCTGAGCCCTCAAACCCATACAAACAGTAAGTGAACTGCTAAAGCTGCAGAGCCTCCTGGAAGGGTATATTTTCCACTGAAAATTAATGAACAATAAAAACTTCCTCTAGGGCAAAGCTAAAGTCCCCTGAGAACGTTAGACAAAGGTGTTATTTCCAGAAAGCTGAATCATGGATTGTCTTATGGGTAAACCAAGGAATATATATTCATGGAAAGAGCAGAAAGTCCTTGCTATTTTTGTCAAGCAGTATTTAATTGCTATGGATCAGTGATAGCTATATTTCTCCTTCTTCCCTTTTATAAAAGGTAGATTTTATTGTAGTTACCCTACATTTATAGCACCATTATGCATATGGTACTCTTGGGACAGAAATACTGTCTTTTAGTTTGTAGATGGCCAGAACACAAGGAAACACATCCTAACAAGATGGAGGAGAATACACCCAGATATCATGATCTTTGAGCTGTATGTGATAATAAATTGGATTGTTTCCTTTGGAGTGGGGAGGGTGTGGAATGAGTATTTTCTGTGTTTCAGAAGTATGGACCTAGAGGCTTAGGTAGTCAAGAAAGCTGATTGGGGTTAAAACCCAAAGTTGCTTATCAAACATTCCTTTTTCCCTTCTTATTTACAGAATCATAAAGGAGCCCTGGTGGCACAAACAGCTAAGCACTCAGCTGCTAACCTAAAGGTTGGTGGTATGAACCCACCCAGTATCTCCAAGGGAGAAAGACCTGGCACTCTATAAAAATTACAGCCAAGAAAATCCTATGGGACAGTTCTACTTTGTCACTTGGGGTCACTATGAGTCAAAATCGACTCTATGGCACCTAACAACAACTTTTAGCCGGTGTTATTAACACATGGATTTCTCAGCCTACTCTGCAGTTAGGCGTGGCCCTGTGACTCAGTTCTGACCAATGAGATGTAAGTTTAAGTGTTGTATAGTCTCTTGGAAATTGCCTAAAAGGAAGCCGCTTCAACTGGAGAAACTCCCTTTTCTTGCCCTTCCCCATTACCTTGAGCAGCAGTCTTGGACAGTGAGGTACTTTGAGAATAAAAAACATACACTGAGGATAGCAGAGCAGAAAGATAGGAATCTGGACACTACATACTTCTAGAATTTCTTTTAAGTAAGACAGAAAAACTCCTATTTAGTTTAAACCACTATTATCTTTGGTTTTTATGTTATATGTAGCTAAACCTAATCTTAAATGATCAAGTAATAAAGCAAAAATATGAAGGAAAAATGATCTCAAGCAGTAATAAAAGCCATTCAGTTGAAGAATTTTTAGACAGTTAAGGTTGTTGAAAGCAGGAAAAAGTTACCAGGAAATACTGGGAATACTATAGACTTCTTAGGAGAAGAATTGTTAATATTGAAGTAATTTTTGTTTTGAGAGAGAGGATGACATGTACCCATGAAAGAGTATCTATCTTCATGAGTAAAAGGAGACCAATTTATTTTAAAAGCAACAGGCAGAGATTCTCACTCAAATAATTACTGATAGATTCATTAAATTATACTGTAGGGCCACTTAATTCAATCATTGAAGGACAGCAAAGAAAAAGAAGGAAGGTATGAAGGTGAGTGCAGATACTGAGTTAAGTTTCCTTCCTTGTTCTGGCAGATTTCAGTCCTTAAATATCTGCGTCCAAAAAAAAACGTGTTCTCATTTTAAAGGTATCTTTATTTATTCGAAATATATTTTAAGATATTTACTGAGCAGAGAAAAAGAAAAGGAGGTAAAAAGACGAAACAGATGCTGAGTTAATGGTTTTCTTCCAGGTTCTGGTGGACTTCCGACTTTAAACGTCTGTGTCAAAAAAAATGTGCTCTCATTTTAGAAGTATCGTCCTTTATTCTGAATGTTCTTTATATATAGATATATTGAGTATTTGTTTTTTAAAATGCTTGATTATTTATAGATTATAATTTTAAAAAATGTTCTCTGGTAAGATCAATATAATTCATTAGAAAGAATTATGCATAATGTTAAAATAAACCATTTCACTACAAATATGGTTATCAAGTTACACAGCATTTGAAATGTGCTGATGCATAAACATTTTAGAGGACTTTTCATTTTTCTGTAAATTTAAGTCTACAGATACATAAAAAAGTAACATAAATCTCAATTATTTAAAATTATATTTGTAACAAATGTGGGTTTCGATTTATTTGTTTATATCCTGAAACAGACAAACAAATAAACAAAATTACATACGTGGCTGGAATTTCAACTCTCCAGCTGGCCCCGATGGAGGAATTCCCTGTTGTAATTTTTTTTGTTCCATCTGCTGTACGGCCTAGTGGATGGAAAAATAAAGTCTTAAAAATAAGTACTTTTAAGACTTTCAACAAAGCACAACAAACTAACTGAAAATTGTTTTCAAAAATAAAAAATATTCAACTTCTAAAACATTTAGATTAATATTTCACATAGCAGTTTAAAAAATACTATATAGCTAATAGTATTTTGAAATATTATATTACAAAAAACCAGCTTTCAGTAAAGCACATAAAAATACTTTTTAATGCCACAATCCTTCTACCAAAATACCACCTGATGATATTCCATCTTCTGAGCCTGGAGTTGGTCGTGCTGACGTTGAAGCTCTTCTTTTTGTTTCTGAAGCTCATCTGCCTTCTTCTGAAGTTCGTTTTCTTGTAAAGAGATATGATTTTCATATTCTTTCAGTTCTTCCTCTGTGAACAACTGTTGCTGATCCAATGTCTAAAAGGAAAAAAATGAGGAAAAATAATCTTAGAAATACAACAATAAGGTATGATTCAGCTGTAAAATTCTATGATTAGCAAAGTGCAAAAGAATATCTCCAACAGGATAACTTTTGGGTAAAAAAGAGGAAAATAGAAGATATTTGAGCAAAAGGAAAACTCAGAGACTAATAAAATTGGTTATTCACAAGGCATGGGTAAGAACTGGGTGGAAAGGACAAAGAAAATGTGGAAAGAGAAACGACACTTTATGAATAAACTTTCTCATACAGATTTGATTTTTGGAACTTGCTAATGTTTCACATACTCAAAAGAAAGTCCACAAGAATGGGAAAACCCTGAAAATTGAATACAAACAGAAGCAAATAAACAGAACTTTTATTTTAAGTGAATAAGATAACTGACAGAATATAAATACGTATAGGTGTATATATATGTGTGTGTGTGTGTGTGTGTGTGTGTGCATGCACATGTATGTGTATGTATGTATGTGTACATATACATATACATAAAAATAAGCAAATACACACACATGCTTTTTTAATTCCCCAGCTATGTCATCTGACAAGGTCTAGAAGCAATGACACTCCAGTAGCAAGGAGCACATCCAATGCCAGATCTTGGTCTATAATATCAATGTCCACTAAAAGTAACCAAGGCTTCCTAAGAGAATGGCTGATTTCAGGAGTGGGGCAGGGAAAGACTAGATGAGCCTTGAACATCTTGTTATGCTAGAGAATAAAGAAGTCTTCAAAGAATGATGCGGACATGTCAGAAGGATACAAAAGCCATCGTGAAGAAACTCTCACTGGACAAATCTGGGACAATCTGAGCATCAAAATAAATAATGAAAGTAAGGATTACAGCCTACTGAATAAAGAAGCCATGAGCCCACACATATTGGTAGGTAGGTAGGTAGGTGGATGGATGGATGGATGGATGGATGGATGGATGGATGGATGGATGGATGGATGGATGGATGGGAGGGATAGTTTTTTCCATACAGTAGAAAGCCAACTTATAAGTGTCAAAGGAATGATGGGACTAGAAAGTCACCATTTGTCAACTGTCATAATAATAATTGACTCTGGCTAGGATCATCAATGGATGTTAAAATTAGTGGATAATGAGAACTCTCATTTTTTATTGTTGGAAATGTAAATCAATACAACCCTTATGAAAAGCACTTTTGCAAAGTATATCAACATCCTTAAAAAATATTCTCGGGGGACGTCATACCATCAAGAAAGCAGTGCCGGGAGCAGAGTGCATCCTTTGGACCGGGGTCCCTGCACCGAGAAGCTCCTAGTCTGGGGGAAAGCTGAAGAGAAGAAGGCCAACAGAGAGAAAAAGTCTTCCCCTGGAGCTGACGCCCTGAATTTGGATTTTTAGCCTACTTTGACTATGAGGAAATAAACTTCTCTTCATTAAAACCAAAAAATATATATATATATATTCTGTTGGCCTTAGTAATGTTGCATGAAAATCTATAAAATAAACCAAAACACATTAAAAGCTTTATATGAAAATGTGTTTATAGCAGAACTTTTTTCAATAACAGTCAAAGACTGGAGATAAGTTAAATGTCTAACCCTGAGAGAATGATTAAGTACCTCCAGAGTTATTAAAATAATGTTTATAAATATTATACAGAAATACTTTTGATAAAATTTTGAGTGAATCAAAAAAGCTGACTTCTGTTTCTGGCAGTATAGTGGGTTAGATAAGATACTTTTTTAATGACAAAAAGTAAAATAGAAACTTTACAGTGGGGCAAGCTGGTAGACATCACCTTCACCACATAATTGAAGTTAACATTGCCAGTCAGGGGAATAATCAACAGCATGTGCGTCCTGATATGATGCACTGAGAAGAACACAGCATCACTTCTGTGGTATTCCATCAAAGGTAGGAATCATAAGAAAACATCGGACAAACTCAAATTGAGGAACATTCTACAAATAACTGGTATGTACTGTTTAAAAATATCAGTGCCATAAAATACAAAGAAAGACTCACGCACTGTCTCAGACTAAAGGAGGCTAAAGGAGTCCCTGGGTGATGCAAACAGTTGATGTGTTCAGTTGCTAACCTAAAGGGTAGAGGTTCGAGACCACCCAGAGGCACCTCAGAAGAAAGGCCTGGTGATCTACTTTCGAAAAATCAGCCACCAAAAACTCTGTGGAGCACAGTTCTACTCTGACAATCTATGAGTTGGAATTGACTCAACAGTAACTGGTAAAAAGACATGGCAACAGCATTCAATAGATGATCTTCGATTTTCTTTTGCCCTATAAGGACATTATTGGGAAAATTAACAAAATATCAATAAGATCTGAAGATTGAGAATAGTATTGTTTCAGCATTAATTTCTTGATATTGACAATTTACTGTAATTATTTAAGATAAATCCTTCATTGTAGAAAATATACACTAAAAGTATTTAGGGTTAAAGCATCATCACGTGCAACTTACTCTTAAACAGTTCAAAAACTATATATTAAGATAGTTATATATACACACACACATACACGTGCATACATACTAACACATACAGAGAGGAGAAGACGAAAAATATAGAGACAAAAAAGAGAAAGATAAAGCAAATGTGGTAAAATGGGAAACATAGGTGAAAAGTATTCAGAAATTCCTTGTTTATTCTTGCAACTTTTATGTAAATCTGAAATTATGTCAAAATTTAAAAAATACATAATAGCTATTAATCTTCTAGTTCATCAGAAGCACCAAAAGGAATGTATATTCAAATTATCTTAGCATTCTTCACCAAGGTCCAGAAGTATTTCAAATGTTAAACTAAAATTTAAAATAAAATGAAGTTATGCAGCAGGACATAAGTGGGGTGCAGAACTCAAATTCTAGTAAAAAGACCAGACTTAATGGTCTGACTGAGACTGGAGGAACCACAGAAAGCACGGCCCCTGGGCTCTCTGTCAACCCAGAACTAAAACCATTCCCGAGGCCAACTCTTCAGACAGATTAGACTAGACTACGGGACATAAAATGATACTCATGAAGGGTGTGCTTCTTAGCTCAAGTAGATACATGAGACTAAATGGGCAGCTCCTGTCCGGAGGTGAGATGAGAAGGCAGAGAGGGTCAGGAGCTGGTTGAATGGACACGGGAAATCTGGGGTAGAAAGGAGGAGTGTGCTGTCATAGTAGAGGGAGAGCAATTAGGGTCACATAAGAATGTATGTATAAATTTTTGTATGAGAGACTAACTTGAATTGTAAACTTTCACTTAAAGTACAACAATAAAATTAAAAAAAAAAAAACTCCTAAAATAAAATGAAGTTGATTTCTTTGATCTCAAACTAGGACGAGCAGTTGTTCCAGTTTGCCCAGAACTGTCCTGGTTTTAGCACTTGAAAAGCCCCACATCCCAGAAACCCCTTAAAAAAAAAGACCTTGTCATTGAGTCAATTCCAACTCATAGTGACCCTACAGGACAGAGTAGAACTGCCCCATAGAGTTTCCAAGGGGTGCCTGGTGGATTTGAACTGCCGACCTTTAACGGTTAGCAGCATTAGCTCTTAACCACTACGCCACCAGAGAAGCCCCTTAGTGCTGGGTAAATCAGGATGGTTGGTCACCCTATCTCAAACTATTTTCTGGACATCTAAAAAGCTAATTAAAATGTTAATTTTTTTATTTTATATTTTACGCAGAAAAAAGACAATGTTCAATCTGTATCGGTTGGTACCACTTAATGATTCTTTTAAAATTGTGTATGCACTCACTTACACAGTTTGCTATGTTAAAAACTGGTATACCTTTCTGGTGCAATTTGGCAAGGTGTATTGAGAAACTAAAAAATATTCATTCACCTTGAGAGTAATTCTATTTCTGGGAATTAATCCCAGGGAAATCATCACAGGTTGCCTAAAACATACGAATGAGTAGATGTTCATCACAGTGTTATTTATTATAGTAAAAAATTAGAATCTACCCAAAATGTCTAAATCTGGAGGAAATGGTAATATAAATTATGCTACAACCATATAACTGCATGCTAAGTAGTCAATTTTTAAATCACGTTTTTGAATAACAACATTGGAAAATGCTCAAGAAATACTGTCAAATATATATATATATATATAAAACAGTATATACAAAGCGATTTATACAATATGACATTTTTTCAAAAATGTAGATATGAATATATAAATTAAAAATTGGACAATATACTGTTTACTGGATATTGTATATGCATATACTGTATGTACATATTACATACAAGCAATCCCCGGGTCATGAACGTCTGACTTACGTACAACCTGCAGTTACGAACCAACTCCTGTAAAGCCTATTATACTAAAAATCTGAGGTATGTGCAATGGTTTATAATAACAAATGGGCACTACTTTGTGAGGTGCGTCCAAACATTATTATTGTTACTGTATGATAATGTTAAAGATGTTTTAGTGTATCTGGAAGTGATTCTTTAATGTCTTTTACGCATAGAAAGCTACACTATATATTAAGACAAACATTTGACTAACTGATGTTAGATATGAACCGTACCTAACTGTTCCAACTTATGTACAAATTCAACTTAAAGACAGACTTAGGAACAGAACTCATCCATAATCTGGGGACTGCCTGTATTTCCAAATAGAAATAATACATTGCATAATTTAACTGTCTTTACAGGTGGCTTCTAATTTTATTCTTTAAATGCATGTATATTTCTAATCTTCAATAATGAACATTATTTTACATTTTAAAAAAGTACAACTTTAAGATGATTTCTAATTATACACACTGATTACAAAATAATCAACTGCACAAGCTATTCAAGAAATCAAATTCATTACTTTATATTGACATTTTGTATAAACAGATAACACTAGTAAGACTGTACATGTGAACATAATGGGGAATAGAAATTAAAAGTAGAGTACACTGATGTAGAATTTCTTGAACCATATATCCCATTTAAAGTAGGTTCTATTACCTCCCAGCTATCTGGCTCCAAGAATTCCTTTTTTTCTGTAGCTTTTAAAAACTCTTCCAGAGTCACCAATCGGTCTTTGTTAGCATCAATCTGATTAAAGGAAAATGTATATGTAATATAAAATCACTCTCTTATACTATTTGAACATTAGAAACTGTCTTTTAATACATGCTACTACAAAAACATATGACAATTGAAAACAGCCTAAACATTCATAGAAACTAAGGGGGGAGGAAAGAAGCACAACATTTAATATTATACTAAAAACAGAAGATAAGTATATAATTCAAATTTGAAAATATGAGATATCCAGACACTTGATATCCCAAAAAGGTCCCTGGATGGCTCAAACAGTTTGCACTCAACTACTAACCTAAAGGTTGATGGTTCAAACCCACCCAGCAGTGCTGTGGAAGAAAGGTCCAGCAATCCGCTTCTGTAAAGATTACAGCCAAGAAAACTCTATAGAGCAGTTCTACTCTACAGGACATGTGTTGCCATGAATCGAAACTGACTCAATGGCAGTGGGTTTTTTTTTTTTTTTAATACTCCAATTTTAAATACTCAACGTTTGAGTCTGATGATCTGACTGGTTAGGCTGGCATTGTCTCTTCTTGCCTCATCACACCATGAGCTTGAACAAGAAAAACAACCTATCCAAAAAGAGGACTGTTTTAGCCAAAAGTAAAAGAGTTTAAATTAAAATCCTCTCAACTTTTTTCTTAAAAACAAACAACTGACTAAATCAAAACTAAAACTGACAAGTTCTGCAAGTTCTCTTCAATGGCTCTTACAGACTATGGCAAATTCAGATACAAGGTGAGCTGTGTACTGGTCAAATAAATTCATCTGATACTTGGAATGCCAGCAGTCAACACAGATCCCAATTCAGCATTAACAGCTCAAAAGTCAAATGAAAATCACTGAAGCAAAACAGTGTACTTCAGTTACCCTGCACATGATGTCTGTATCAGAGTTTTTGGTTTAGTGGAAAGTAGGCAGGAGGAAGGCTGCAGAGAGAGGCAAATATTTTACTTACGGTGGTCACAGAGGTTTCTCTGCAGAGTGGACATTTAAGCACAGCCCTGATGGTGGTGGGACTATGTGATGATCTGGAGGAAGAGTGTTTCAGGAAGAAGTAGCGTTAAGCGAAAAGCCTCTAAGGTGGGAATAAGCTTGGTTAGCGAGGAAATATCAAGAAGGCCAGTGTAGCTAGAGTAAAGTGAGACAAAGTCAGAGAGATAAGATCAGAGGGAAATGCAAGGGTGAAATCACGTCATGACTTTGGATATAAGAGGGATTCTGGATTTTTTCTGAGTAAAATGAAAAGTCATTGAAGTGTTTTGAGCAAGAGAGCAATATGACCTGATTTAAGCTTTTAAAAGATCTCTCTGCCCGCTGTATACAGTGTGGTAAGCAGTAGAAGCAGAGATACCAGTTAGGTGGCTAATGCAGTAGTTCAGGTGAGAGATTTGCTTGGACTTGTTTAGTAGTGGAAGTAGCGAGAAGTAGTCAATTCTGGATCTGTTTGAAAGGCAGACCAAATAGGACTTATGGATTAGATGTACGATATGAGGAAAAGAGAAGTTAAAGATGACTTTGGCCTGAGCAACTTGATGAATGGTGATCCATTTGCTGAAATGAAGAAGACCGAGGGAGAAGCAGGGCTGGGTCTGAAGAAGATGTTTATTATATATCTAATAGGAGATGTCAAATAAGCTCAAACAAGCCTAGAGGTTAGAGTAAAGAGCTGGAGATAAAAATTTGAGATTTATGGGTATATAGAGCATATATAATGACATAGGACTCAATAAACGTACCTAGGTAGAGAATGCAGATACGTAAGTGAACATAGGCAGGGAATGGGCCCAGGGCCCTGCACCATTTAGAACGTGGGACGAGGAGGAAGAGCCAGCAAAGAAGATTGAGAAGAAAGAGTGAATGGGGTATGAGGAAACTAAGAAAATGTGTTTTCCCAGAAGTCATCTGAAGAAAGCATTTCAAGAAAGGGGGAGGGATCAACTATATCAAATGCTGCTAAGAGGTCAAATAAGCTGCAAACCCTGAATTTGACAAGACAAAGATCATCTACCAGGAGTTTCAATGAAATAGTGGGGGTTACAGCATGGTAGGCATAGGTTAAGGAGAAAATGGAAGGTGAGGAAGAAGAGATAGAAACTATAGACAACTATGGAAGAGTTTTGCTGTGAAGGGGAGTAGAGAAATGGGGCAGTAGTCAGAGCTTTCATTTTGTGTTTAAGGTGGAAGATATTACAGCATGTTTGTAACCTGATGGGAATGATCCAGTAGAGTGGAAAAAATTGACACAAGAGACAGAGGGGATAATGGCATGCACAAAGTTCTTGAATAGGAGATAGAGAATGGGATCTAAAGAACAAGTGGAGGAGAAGACGTTCAATGGAACAGCCATGGTTCATCCGCTGTTAATAGAAGATAAGGCAAAATAAATGGATACAGATGCCGATTGATGGGTAGATTTGATAGGGGGAAGATAAGTAATTCTTGATTGTTTCTATTTTCTGAGTAAAATAAGAGTCAAGGGCAGAAAAGAGGGAAGAAATGTCTTGAGGGTTTGAGGAAAGGGGAGAATGTGTGAAACTGTCAGACTCTGAGAGTGAGAAAGTGAATGGACCAGGGAAGCACAGAGGAATTGTCAAGCAGTAGTGAGGGCCTGCTAGTGATTTGTGGTCCTAAGACTGAAGTGAGATGAGTTAGCATGTTTCCATGTTAATCTCATTCTACATTCCACTGCTCTGATATAGCAGGATACAACAGAGTTATGCATCACCTCATCACCAACTTTGGGCTTGCCCCAGACTTTCTTTGGCCAATGAGTTGTAAGAGGATGTGAGGTTTGCCACATCTGAGCATAAATCTTAAATACTATTACATAGTTTGGCTTGGGGGTTTCTTATGTCCCTGCCCTCCGCCATGAGAACAATGTGACCAAAATAGAAAGTGCTCGTTTGCCTAGGAATGATAAGAATGTAGAGCCAAAGCCAGCCATGGCCAAATCAGCCAAATCCAGATCAGTCTTGTCATACCTAGCTGCAATCAACCCTTAAAGCTTATATAATGTGAACAAGAAATAAATATTTGTGATTATAAGCCAAGAAGTTATTGGAGTTTTTGCTTTTTCTTAGCAAAAAATAACACAGACTTTTTAAACATCACATATTCGACTTCATTGTTTTTCATATCTAAAAGAATGTTTTATAGCTGATATGCAGCATCATCTTAATTTTTAAAAATATTTTAAAGTAGGTACAAACTATTTCATTTACACTAAAGGAATCTACTGAATAGTCTGGATCAAAAATGCAAAATCCAATTATACATCTTATCTCTATATATACTTTCCATCTTATGGTAAGATTTATTGCAAGAACTTGAATAATCAATAGAAGTAGCATATAATCTAAACTTTTAAAACATACCTCATTCATTACATGTTCCCTCATTCTAAGTCTTTCTTCCTCCATTTCTATCATATCATCCTCTTCATTTTTGGGGTCATATACTTTCTCCAACTAAAAAGAAAATTTTAAAACCAGCTTAAAAGAAAAAAAGATAGTAGAAGGGAAAAGAGAGAAAGAGAGAGAGGATGAGCAAAAACACTGAATACATAATAAATTCATTTACCTCTTTAGTAAAGAGGGCTTCTAATTCTTGTTCATCCAGGAAGCCATCATTATTGACATCTAAAGTTTAAATGTTACAATACAAAAACTGATTTTAATCCCTTAAAAAATAATTAGAATACAATTATTTACAAATGGTTTGCAAAAGTAGTTCTGACATAAACCATCAATGTGCTGCAGAAAAAAGTTTCTTCTTTTTTTATGAAGCCTCAGATCACCCCAATAATAACAATTCAATATTTATCTATAATTTTAGAAAAACATCTTAACCAGTTTTCCCAAAACTTCAAAGTAAAACAATATGCTATAAAAGTAAATTTTAATATTACATCAGAAAGTCTGTTATCAGCTAGCCACAGATACACCTTCAGTTTTTAGAGAAACTTTTAATAAGTTATAATGACTCAGCAGTAAAAGCAGGTATAAAGACAGAGCTATTGACCTAAAATATTTTATACCACAGATCAGCAGTAAAGACTATTATATTACCTGAGAAAAAAATTCTAACCATTTACTATCAATAGACTTCAATAGCAAACCTTGACAGAAATCAAGTAAGAGTAAAGCGACTATGATTTTTTCAAACCGAATACATAAATATTAATATTTGTATCAAATCTGTTACCATGTAATTTGAAAAATGTCTTGAGGTCAAAGTCATTAGGATCCAATCCATCAGCCTCTTCCCATACCTCTTTCAGTTGATCTTTGCTTCCCTGTGAATTAATTTTAAAAAACTACTCAAAACATAATCTATGTGTATAGTCTCAAAATAAAATATAAATCTGAGGAACTTTACAGAATTGAGAATCAAGATTTAAGTACCAATAATTTATAATAAAATTCTGCTAGCTGGTACAAAGAAGGGTCTTATCTGAATATGCTTTCATAAAGTCACAATCCTTACTGGATGGTTAATTTTGGGATGATCTTCATGCTTTTTCTTCATTTCTTCAAATTTAGATTCTGCTTCTTTTCTCTTTTCTTCATTCAGTGTTTTTAAATATTCTCTCCTTTCATGTTCCTTCAACATTTCATATTTTTTAAATTCTTCATGTCGAGCCTTGTCATAGTGTTCCAGATCACTTGTAGCCTATAATACAATAAAAAAAAAAATTCATTGCCATCAACTCAATTCCAACTCATAGCGACCCTGTAGGACACAGTAGAACTATCCCATAGGTTTCCAAAGAGCAGCTAGTGGATTCAAATTGCTGACCTTTTGGTTAGCAGCCGAGCTCTTAACCACTGCACCACCAGAGTTATAATACAATAATGCATTTTAATTAAATAAAAAGATGTGTTTTGAAAATATAAATAAAGTCATTCCTGAATACAGCATACTCTCTAACAGAAGCTTATATTAGGGGAGGGGACAAAAAATACCAACTAGACTCTTTTAATTCTACCTTTTATTTAAGTCATTATTATTACCAGAGGGGTAGGCATTCAAGGAAACTAAAAGTTCAAAGCTAACTGCAACTTTAGGAAGCTCCCCATAAGCAAGTAACACATAAAACTGATTTTAAAGAGAAAAAGAAGAAAGGGGGCTATATAAATCTGTACAGGAAACTAGAATGGTTTTGAACCATTTAATTAAATCTAATAATGGCTAGGTTAGAACATCTAGTTTTGTAACCCCAGACAGTATAATACAAGAGGTCTACAACTCTTACCTAAAACCCTGAGGCCATTATTTGTTTCAGAAATTTCTAGGTTTTTAGAAAGGTAATATGGCACATAGGCCATATACAGAACAAATTTTTACTGTCTATAACTAGATTAGTATTTCTTTAGCAAAATCTATAAACACCTACACTGAGTAGACTAAATAAAAACTATAAATAGCCTTACTATATATAATTGGTCAGTTCAGGTTAAGTTTCAGTTTTTCGAGCTCTTTGGATTTTGGAATTATGGATAAAATAGACCGTACGTTAATATCTGTATCAATAAGGGTTTAGCTACTCTTTTAATATCTGTATTAATTTTAATATCTGCATTAATAAGGGTTAAGCTACCCCCTTTAAAGATCTTCTAGAGAGTATATAAAAGTTATGTTACTACTTCATTGAGATTACTTGTCAAATTACAAGACCTGAAAAGCACAATAAAAACAACACTTTTTGGAATTATTCTCACCGCTTTGATTAGCATATCTAAATCTGTGGATTCAAACGTGTCAGGATTCATGTGGTTTAGGTGATCAAACTGTTTTAGAAGAGCTTGGTGGTCTATGCCTGTATCTGAAAGACAATGAAAAAACTGTAAATGATCAATTGCCAGAAGCTAGAAACATGTATATTAATAATACATAAGAATAAGCATTCACATTTATTCCTATAAGATTTTATGAGAAAATTCAAAATTGTAAGTTAAGGGTTCATATTTTCTTTTAAACTATTGTGCATATTATTATTCTAGGTAAAGGTAATGTCCTTGAATCTAGAATGGAATACAATTTAATATGTACATTTTAATACTGTTTCTAGAAAGACTAGTTGACTACCAGTATAATTAATAGTAAATACTTTTTTTATTAGTTAGAAACTACCAAATTTTCTACTTTTAATTAGATAAACTCTAATATAGTGCCCTCATCAAAGGTCTAAGCAGAATTTCTAAAAAGAATTGCTCTAAAATTTATATGAAGGAATTCTTCATGCTATTCCAGTAAATCCCTTACAGGACAGTAAAAATCTAATTCAGGTAAATTTATTTGAATTATGACATATTTTTAAAGAAACATCAGGTTTTTTTTGTAAAAAATAGAAAACATTAGCTCTAGTTTATTGTAATTGAATGGCTGAAGCAATTCTGGACTATTGTATTGTATTGCAGAATTGAACAAAATGGGTACATGTGCTAATGTTGTTGGAAGTCAAGAGTTCTCACCAAGGAAGGAATATACAAATATGAAATAGTATAAGGCAAGAAAGAAGACTGGAGACGGATGGGAATTAGTGATGTGTGAACTCATGATTTCTAAAATATGTATATATAAGTGCATATGCATGTATGTTGCACGTGTGTGTATGAATATAATGCGTGTATGTATACACTTATGTGTATAGACATGCATATCTCTTAACTCTGAGCAATGAATGTGCCAAGAAGAAAATACACTCCACTAGCAATAAGCACACATAGTGCTCAGTCTGTAATACCATTCTCCACTAAAAAGAACTAGGGCTCCTCGGAGAATGACTGATTCCAGAGCTGGGTAGGTACAAGATAAGCCTGGAACATCTGACTATACCAGAAAACAACTTTCGTCTAGCCAAGCTTTCACTGAATTTTTAGCATGCCACTGTATTAGGAGTTTTACTTATGATGAAAATATTTTTTATAAAACCTAGTCCTAAAGGATATGAACAGAAAGCTATGAAAAGACACTTAACCTCACTTAAGAGGAATACACATTCAAATTGCACTATTATACCATCTAACAGAATTGCAAAACTCATACAGTTTTATGACACATACCAATGGCAAGGCCGTAAGGAATTATTGCTGGTGGGAATGTGTATTGATACAACCTCTATGGAGGCAAATTTGGCAATATCTATCAAAATTAAAAATGCATATACCTTTTGATTTAGCAATTTCACTTGAACTTATCCTACAGATTATCTTACATGTATATACGTACAAGACTGTTCACTAGAAATAACCCAAATGTCCATCAACAGGCCTGGTTAAATAAATTACGGTATATCCATATAATGGAATTTTATGCAGCTGTAAGAAAAAAAGATGAAGATGGTCTCTATGTACTAATACGAAAATATCTTCAGAATATATTACTAAAGGAAAAACACAAAGTACAAGATATATATTTTATGCTACATTTTGTATAAGAGAGGAAAAATAAAAATTTTATTTGTATTATATGAGAATAAAGAAACTCAGGAAGGATAGTACTGGAGGCAGTGGGAATGGATAGAGTATAAAGATAATCAAGGAGATTTTTACTATATACCTTTTTACACTTTTTAGTTTTTAAACCATGTGGATGCCTGGCCTACTTTAAAAATCACCCCCCCCCCAAAAAAAATGAAGACCCTTTAAGCCCTATTTCAAGTTACCAGAAATTTCAACTCATAAATTTAGGATTAATGAGGAAATATTCATAAATTTTCTAGTCACATCAAACTATTTTCTTTAAATAATGAAATTCAGGACCTAGTTTGGACTAAAGAAGACTGCCAAGACTGAGGTGATGGAGATTGTCTAAGGGGAAAGAAATCTCCAAATACCTTAGGCATGGCTTCAAGGATGGAACTATCTTGGGTGTCTGACTACCTCAAGTGGTATGACTTGAGCTCAATCTACCTCTCATTGAGATCCTTTATTATAGGATAATGAGTATTTGGTACTTGTTTTCTAAGTCTGTTTACCAGGAAGCAGTTTAATGCTTTACACCAGCATTTCTCCAAAATGACCAGAAGTTCTTACATAAAATGCAGATTACTGATCCCCAGAATCAGATCTCTGAAGGTGATATCCAGTAATCTGCATTTTTAATAAACTCCCCAGGTGATTCTTATGCCTTCTAAAGTTAAAGCACAACTGTTCCACCAAGAAGGAGCCCTGAAGGCGCACCAAGAAGGTGCAGTGGTTAAAGCGCTTGGCTGCTAACCAAAAGGTCAGTGGTTCAAACCCACCAGCCGCTCCACGGGAGGAAGATGTGGCAATCTGCTTCGGTAAAGATTTACAGCCTTGGAAACCCTATGGGGCAGTTCTATTCTGTCCTACAGGGTCGCTATGAGTCAGAATTGACTCAATGGCAATGGGTTTGGTATTCCATCAAGAGTCAGTGTTCAGGTGTTATTAATGATAATGAACCACCTAGGTAACCAACCTATAGGGGGATGTCACAAGGACACAATTGCTAGCTTGAAGGGTTTCCCACTGGCCAAATCTGGCTCAGCTCAAGATAATAAAGGAATTTGCCTATGTTTTCATCTAGTTCTTTTATGATTTCATTTTCCACACTTAAATCTTTGATTCTTTGGAGTTAATCCTGATGTAGGATATGAGATATGGATCTAACTATACCTTTTTCCAAATGGCTAGCCAGTTGTACCAACACCATTTATTTAAAATTTTATCTTTATCCCACTAATATAAAATGCCACCATTATTTTAAACTAAATTTCGTATGTATTTAAGTCTAATTCTAGAATTTCTATTCTCTGTCTACTTATATGCCAGAACAACACAGTTTTAATGACTGAAGCTTAATGATATATTTTAATATCTAATATATCTAATCCCTCTTCATTGCTCTTCTTTTACATAAGTACCTGGCTTTTCTTGCTTATTTCTTTTTTTACATGAACTTTAAAATTAGCTTGTCTAGTACCAGGAAGGAACCCTGGTGGCACAGTGGTTAAAAGCTTGGCTGCTAACCAAAAGGTCAGTAGTTTGAATCCACCAGCCACTTCTTGGAAACCCTACGGGGCAGTTCTACTCCATCCTATAGGGTCGCTATGAGTCGGAGTCGACTTGATGGCATTGGATTTGGTTTTTTGGCTTTTAGTACCAGGAAAAAAATTATGTACTTTTATCTGGATCATGTTCAATTTAAAAATTAAACTAAGGAGAACTGACATGTTTATGATATGGAGTCTATCAAAAAGATGTCATGCCTTTCCATTTATTCAAATCTACTTTTGTGTCCTTCAGAAGTATTGTTAAGTTTTTGCCTAAAAGCCTTGCACATTTCTTAATAGGTTTGTTCTGGGTATTTTATCTTTGTTGCTATTGTAAATGGAGTCTTTTCTTCCATTATATCTTCTAAGTAACTGTTGTTTGCACATATGAAAATTATTCATTTCTCCAAAGTTTACCTGGCTAAATTTTCTTATTGTTTATAGTAAGCTTTTCAGTTGATTGTTTTGGGATTTCCATGTATACAATCATATCATCTTCAAATAGAGATGGTTTTATCACCTCCTTTCCAATGACTTTACCTCCAATTTTTTTCATTTGTTTAATTGTTTGGGCTAGTACCGCCAATACAAAATTAATTAGTGGTGTTGACAGTGGGCATCTGTCTTCTTCCTGATTTTAGTCAGAATACATACCGTGTTTCCCCATTAAGTATGATGTGACTGAATTGGATATAATTGATCATGTTATAGAATTATCTATTGATTACAATATTTTTATTCAATCAAGAATGGGTGTTAGATTTTGTCAAATGCCTTTTCTGTATATGTAGATATGATCATATGAACTATGAGATAACTTTCTTTAAGATACCCTTGCATTTCAAAAATTCATAGCTATTTAATTTTCTGTCTAAAATTAAAAGAATATGAGTTTCAAATGTTTATTCCTATCTATCATTTACCCTTTGACTTTGTTTATGATTTTTTTTTTTTTTTACCATGCTAGTTTTTTTCTCCTTAACCCACTGCCATGAAGTTGATTCCAACTAATAGCAACCCTGTAGGACAGAGTAGAACTGCCCCATAGTGTTTCCAAGGCCATAAATTTCTAGGGAAGCAGACTGCCACATCTTTCTCCTGCAGGGTTGGCTGGTGGGTTCCAACCACCGACCTATGGATTAGCAGCAGAGCACTTAACCACTGTACCTCCAGGGCGCCCATTTTTTCTCCGTAGTTCTATTCACATGATGATTTATAGTATTAGATTTCCTGTTATTACATCAAACTTCCATCACTGAAATAAATTCACTTGCTGTGATATAGTATTCTTTCGACAAATAATAATTTTGGTTTTGGCATCAATACCTAATAAGAATGTGGAAGCCTGTCTTCCTTTTCTGTGCTTTAGAACAATGCAAATAGCACTGACAAGCTGCTTTTTAATAGTTTGATAGAATTCCCTTATGAAACTACCTGGGCCTGGTGTTTTTTGCAGACTTCGCTCTCTGACAGTTTTTCTACTTTATCTATGGAAATCGTTCTAATTTTCTCTCTCTGCTTTCTTTTGCCTTATTTTGGTGTTATTTTTCCTTTTTAAAATCAGTTGTTTATTAATTTTCATTCTTCCTTTTTTGCATTTTGAAATTTACCTATTTAAAGCTAATCATTTTGATTTTTTAATAATGTGAGTGTATTACCTATTCAAAAAATTAAATTTTAAAAATTATAAAGAGAAGTCAAATCAATAATAACATTAAATTTTGACTAAAAGAACATGGTATGTGTTACTGTAATTACGACTCTAGCATTAATAAAATGTAAACTGCTCTCAACAAAAAATGTAAACTGATCTCACAACCAAATATTGAATTTTTTCCTACCTTTTCTTTTAGCGCTTACCTTGAAGGGAATCCATCTTAGCTTTAATTAGCATTCTTAACCTTGCTACTTCTTGCCTTTTCAGTTCATCTAGTTTTGTCCTCACATGGTGACTTACTAAATCCAGCTCTTTGCTTAGCTTTCCACTCTGTTAATAAAGTTAGTTTTATAATTACTTTCCATTTTTAGACCAGATACAATATATTTTAAAAGGGTTGTAACAGTGATAAAAAAAAAAATTTGGTTTTAGGTAAATTTGCTATCACAAAGTATTACTTTCAGAAGAGATTAAGTTTGTAATTTTAAAATCAAGTTGCCTAAAAACCATATAATTTAGAAAAGCATAATTAAAGCACAAAGGAAAAATTCAAAAAGCAACTTAAACTGTAAAATGGTGGATCCATTTTAGAAAACAGTTTGGCAGTTCCTCAAAAGTTAAATATAGAGTTACCACATGACCTAGCAGTTCCACTCCTAGGTATATACCCAAGAGAATTGAAAACATGTTCACAAAAAAACGTGAACATGAATGTTCATAGCAGCATTATTTATAACAGCCAAAACAGAAGAATCTAAATGTTCATCAACTGATGAATGGACAAACAAAATGTGGTATATCCCTACAATGGAATGTTATTTGGCCATAAAAAGGAATGAAGTATTGATACATACCACAATATGGATGAACCTTTTAAATATGCTAAGTGAAAGATGCCATCTATAAAAGGCCACATATTGTATGATTTCATTTATATGAAATGTCCAAAATGGCAAATCCATAGAGACAGAAAGTGAGTTAATAGCTGCCAGGGGCTGGAAGGAGGAGGGAAATGAGGAGTGACTACTTAATGGGTATAAGGTTTCTTTTTGAGGTGATGAACATGCTCTAAAATTACATAGTGGTATAGTTTCATGACTCTGAATATATTTAAAACCACTAAATTATATACTTTAAAAAGATGAATTTTATAGTATGTGAATCTCAATAAAGTTGTTATTAAAAGAAAAGTAACTCGGCCTCTTTAAGCCATTTGTCATTAGCCATTCCATATGCAAATAGCTTTTCAAAACTCATCTTTTGTGGGTTGTCTCCTTTCATGACTTTTTATAGACGAGTGATTAGACACATTCCAAAATTTAAGAAACAGAATAGCTAGTGGTTTACTCTCTCTTGTTTATAGATGCATCTGCAATTACAAACTGCAGGTCTAACTAGCAATCAGCTAGTTAAGGGCTAATTTTAAGGACTGAGTCAATGGGGCCTGCAGAGGAAGGTAAGGAAAAGAAACCTCACAAAGAAGTAATGGTCAGAAAGGTAGGAGAAGAACTACAAGAGTATGCTGTAATCAAAGCAAAAAAGAATAGAACATTTCAAGGAGAAAATGGTCCTTATTATCAGATAAAACAATGGTTCACAAAGCATGGTGCCCAACCAGAATCATCAGCATCTCCTGGGAACTTATTAGAAATGCAGGCCAAGACTTACTGAATCAGAAATTCTGGAGGTGGGGCTCAGAAATCTGTCCGTTAACAAGCTCTAAAATCTGAGAATCATTCAGATAAAATAAAACAGCCCAATAAGATGAGGACTAAAAGGTGCTCACTGAATTTGGAAATTAAGAAGTCACTAACAACCTCCATGAGAGTACATTCCGTGGAGCAGTGAAGGAAAGTCATTATTTTTTCCAGTTAGGGAATGTTTGGAAAGTGAAGAAATGTAGTATGACTCTCCTTTCAGAAGCTTGGCTAAAAAGGAAAGGACAAGTTCTAATTTTTTTTTTTTTTAGTTTTTCCCAATAGAGGCAAGAATCTTTGCTTGGCTACTTGTAATGATTCTGTTGACTTAGATTTTATTGTCTGTTTTTACTGTTATTTCTTTTTTCATTGAATAACTAACATATTTCATTTTGTTTTATTTTCTTCTATAGGGAATAGGAATTGACTGAGAAAGGAAGACAATTATAAAAGTATCCCCTCCCTCAAACCAGGAAATGTATCATCTTCTTTCCCCTGATTAGTTCTACATAGTACCTACCATTATCCACATTTTTTATGTTACCTCCAAATAATGTTCGAAGTCCTAATTTCAGCTGGATAGAAGACACTGAAAGTTCTACATTAAATATCATTTGACCTAGGAAACTGGTTTCACAGGTTAAATTAATCCTTCAGAGGAACAGCAAGATTATTTCCAAAGACAATTCAGGGGAGTTACTGGCATAACGCTATTACCGTTTTCCCAGAACAATTAACAGCCTTCATGAGGAGAGTTGTGAACTAAAAGCCACAGGCTCCAATAGATACCACTACTTGATGTGTGTCAGTCCTTCAAATGAGGCCCACACTAGGGACAGAGACTAAAATAAGAAAGATGTTTGGCCCAGAAAGGTTCCTTCAAACACAGTTTTTAATTCTGATTCCAGAGACAGGTGAGATAATTTTTGAAGAAAATTAAAAACAAACAAAATAGTATAAACAAACAAAACTATCTTGAGAGGCATAACTGATAGCCTAAAACTAAATCACTGGAATTTTTTTTTTCTATTCACTGACTCTAGGGTAAACCCAACTAAATGGATTATGAGTACTAAAGAGCACCAGTGAGTGTTGCAAAGGAACCCACCAAAAGGCTCCGTGGGAGAAAGACCTGCTTCTGTAAAGATTACAGCCAAGAAAACTCTACGAGGCAGTTCTACTCTGTCATACAGAGTTGCTATGAGTTGAAAACAACTCCATAGTACCTAACAACAAGGAGATGCCCAGGGCTAAGATTATATCCAATATTGTTCTTAGGACAGAGGCAAGTGGTTAAACCTCCCTATTCCCATGAGACATGATCCATTACCTCTTCTGTTAATCTGGACCTGATTAAAACACCAGAATCCAATCCATTCTAAACCTTTGAATAGCTTCCTGCTGTCTTCAGTCAACAGCAACAGGTTTTGGTTTTGGTCCTCAGATCATGATCCAGTATATAAGGCTTTCTGTCATCTAGCCCATAGCTATCTTTCCAACCTCATCTTTTGGCTGCTCACAGACTTCACTTCCTACTCTAGGTTCTAGCAATAGTAACTTCTTCCAGTTTCCTATATACCTCTTGTCTCTGTACTCCTGTATCTTTGCCTAGGGTGCCTCCCAGCCCCTCCATCAATTATACCTTTAAACACTGGCATAATCTCCACCAGAAAGAATGACCTCCCACCTTCACCAATTGCTTTCTACTAGATGACGTGTCCTTCCTCTTTATCTCCATAATATTTTACACACTCATCATGTAGTCATCCTAATATTCTATTTCTAGATATGACTCTCCTTTGAGGGTTTATTAAGGGCTGCGAATGAGTCTCATCTTTATATCCCTAAGTACTTAGCTCAGTGTCTGGCATGCTCAAATGTCATTTGAATAATTATTTACATTTACCTTTATTTCCTCTATGTCTGCTTTCTGGAGCTTTTCTCTGAAATGGTTATCTGTCTCCAGCACATCAATCACTTGCTTGAGATATTCATCATAATAAAGTCCAGTATCCTTCAAATTAAGAAACAAACAGTAATGTTTCTGAAATTCTTCCTTCTCTGCATCTAAAGATCTCAATCCTGAAAAACAATTTCTAGCAAAATGGCATTAAGGTGTACCTATGTTGATAGTTTTGACAGTCAAAGTAAAAAAGCTGTATTCAAAACTCAAATGAAGAGTTTTGTATCAGAACCAATACCCATGTTTTACTGTTGCATAAAGGGAGAATTCCTATATGTCCTAGACAGTGAAGACTTAACCAATTATACTGTTTTCTCCCCATTGTCATCTGTCTCTCCTCATTGCCTTCTGTCTGGCTCTCCTTTGAATACAATGTTTTCTTGGCTGGTGAGCTCTATGCTGGAAATGTATTATGCTTAATTCTTCTGTGTACTATCTAATATACTTACTACATTAAATAAACATTGTCTAAGATCAAACAACATATGTATATTCAATACTCTTTTCATTGCTGTTTCAAAAGTAGTTTCTAAACGTCCAATTTTATAAGTAATAAATATTAGCAATATTTTCGCTATGATTCACAGGATTATCTTTATCATTTCACTTACTGGTGGTTCTATTTTTGCACTTTCCACAGGTTCAGTATTTTTTACTTTTGTCTTGTCTATGTCTATAGGCACAGCTTCAAAAGCAGTAAGCAGACATGTAACCAAGAGAAAATATTGTAGTAGGACGGTCTTCCACCTCATCTGAAATAAAAGATTAATTATAATAAAGTCATGAAATCATGCATTAAAATTATGTATATAGCATTCCCAATGCCACAATAATAATATATTCAATCTCAAGAAGTTGAATATAACAAAAGTATTCTGAGGGAAGGGGAAAAAGAGATTGTAACTTATCAAAAATAACATACTTAAAATAGAAAACTAAAGAAAATTAGGGGAGAAATGTCCTTCTGTCAAAATTTAAAAGACAAGAAAACAAAATTTTAAAGTTTAAATTGCTTATATAGTATATGAAAATGTTTGGTTAATGACAAAAGCTTCAAATAAAGATGGTAATGAGGAACCCAAAATTTAAAACAAATAAATAGTCCAAGTTTAGGAAAGCAGAAAGTAAGAAAAAAACTATTTTTTTTCTCAGTCAAAATACTAGAGGGGCAAAATTGTTTCTTGATATGATATTTAATTTAGTTTCAGTCTAATTTTGGAAGTAAATATGCTCTATGAACATCAATGGATTAAAAGAGAAAAATGACTAGCCACAAATATTCTCTTAATCTTATTAAATATAATTTTATCATACTCGATCATCATTTGCTAAAGGTTCTTTTTGGTCAATAAGTTGTCAGATAAATAGGTCAGTAAGATATGAAATCAAGTAGGATGTAATGAGGTTGAAACAAAAGACAAAGAGCTATTGCTGGTCTGGCAATATTACCCAAATTTGCTTACTCAAACTGCTCCCATTCCATAAGGATCTTGGTGGCTCTGGACGGTCTCCCTGGCCCACAGAGCAAGGTGGCTACAGTGGGCCTGCTGACCCACGGAGCAGGACAGCTGAGCATCCTTGGTCTAGAGGCTTCCTAGCAGAGTAGGGTGCCTCCAGGCACTTATCTGAGGAGCTAAAGAGCTTTGTAACACTTGCCTGGGCAGGGCACAGGCCAGGGCCAAGAGGAACCCTGTCGTCAGTGGGCCAAGAGGAGGCCTATTATTAGGGGGCAAGCACAGCAGAGAGAAAGGTCTGCTTGCTTGCAGGGCCAAGAGGAACTGAGAGAGCTGTCCTGCGCTGATGAATGGAGGGATGTGCTCTCCACTTCGGGGAGCCTTCTAGACTTTGCCTACATGCTTCCTGTTGATCCTGATCCCGAGCTGTACCATTTACTTCTCTAATAAATTCTATAATCGTGAGCAAGGTCTGTGAGTTCTGTGTGGCCATTACAACAAATTATCAAACTCAGCAGAGAAGTAGAGAGTGCTATGGGAAGAACAGCTGGTGTCCGAATTGGTAAAAAGGTTGGAGAGTGGAAGTATGTCTGACTTCCACCTCACAGAAATCAGCCTTGGGCTGATGTTGATGGTGACTATCCTCCCCGCTCAGTAAGTTAGAGGACCTCTGACATCACACCATTTTTACAGAGGTACATAGGGCAGTGGCTCATTTTACAGACGAAAAAATTAATACCTAAACCAATTAGCTTACAGAGCACTGTCTTGTCATTTACAAAACCACTAGAACTCACATTTCATTGTTATTTTTAGTCTACCAATTTTTTTACATCTTTATTGAGATATACTCCTCATGCCATAAAATTCACGCAAAATATACAATTTAATGGCTTTAGTATATTCACTGAGTTGTGCACCATCACCCTTATCTAATTTCAGAACATTTTTCATCACCCAAAAAAGAAAACCTGTGCCCATTAGTAGTCACTCCCCATCCCCCATTCTCCACAATCCCTGGTGACCACTAAAGTACTTTCTGTCTCTATGGATTTGCCTGTTCTGGACATTTCCTATAAATGAAGTCATACTATATGTGGTCTTTTATGTTCGGCTTCTTTCACTTAGGATGGTGTTTTCAAGGTTCGTCCATGTTGTAACATGTATCAGTAATTGATTCCTGTTTTTTTTTTTTCATTTAATGCAACATGAATTTACTGAATACATTTTTTTACACTAATACAGATAGTGTACTAGATACTGGAAACACAGCAGTAAACAAGACAGAAACTCCAGCCCACAAGAAACTTACATTCTAGAGGGCAAAGAGCTACTGGACCAAAACTAACCTGAAATCTACCCTGTCTCTAGATATTAGTATGAGCCAATACATTCCCTTTATTGCTTAGTTTGTTTCATATGTTCTATTGCTTTTAACTAAAAGCATCCTTACTTACATGCAACCACTGTCTCATCTTTCATTATTCTCTGTCTTATATTTCACACTCTAACCAAACTAGCTTGATCTCAGCACATGCTACACGTGTAGTGAAGAACCTTACCCAAAAAGAGGACTGATCTTTTCCCTCTGCTACTGGGAGATGATCTCTAGGCTCTCAGAATGTCCTGCCTAATAGGAATGCCTTCGTTTGCCTGGGGCTTTGGTCACCAGACAGTCTAACAATGTGATTTATGATGGGGGCTTTGGGCCATGCAGTTCTGCCCCCAGAGAAACTGGAGACTAAAGGTATTAGCCCGACTTCCAGGAAGGGTTGGCCACTAAAGGTCAGCCACGTGACTGGTATATGTTCGAGCCCCAATAAAAACTCTGGATATCAAAGGCTTGAGCAGACTTCGCTGGTTGGCAATACTCTGTGCATACGGGCACACCCTGATGCTGAGAGAGTAATGCTGCCCTGACTCTGGGGGGAGAGAACGAAGGATCCTCCAGGTTTGGTACTTCCCTGACTCTGCATTTCTTCCACTAGCTGATTTTAATCTGTATCCTCTCCCTGTGATAAACCATAACTGTGAGCATAACAGCTTTCAGTGAGTTCTGTGAGTCCTTGTAAAGAATTATCAAACCTGAAAGCGATTTGGGAAACTTCCAAACTTGCAACTGGTGTCAGAAGTGAGGGCAGTCTTATGTGGACTGTTGCCTCTAACCTTTGCAGTTGATTAATCTCTAAATTCTCTCTCACTATGATAGTTCTCATTTGACATTATTCTCTCTATTTGACATACCCTCCTATCCTGGCCTAAAGTCACATAGCTTAGAAATGGTAGCAGAGAATTTGAGTTACAGTCGTAATAGGTTTTCTTAAAATACCCTCTTCCTTTCATTCTTTCATTCTTAGATCAGTACTCTTTCCAGGATATACCTAAAGGGATCTAATTACATATATGTAATAATGAGGCTATTTATATGCATTCATGAAGACCATAAAAATTAGGGACCCCAGAAGAGGCTCTCACATTTGAAGGGATTTTTTTGAAGTATTCTGTAGAGATGCTATTCTAAGTTTAGTTCTAAACCTGAAAGATCACATCACCTGAGCGCTTATCAGAAATGCAACTTCTCAGGCTGCACCAAGATCTCCTGAATTAAAATTTCTGGGGTGGGGCCCAGGAGTCTGTGTTTCAACAGACTTTCCAGGTGATTCTTACACAAGCCCAAGAAAAACTCTTCTCTAGGACACTAGTTCCTCATTGTGATTGCTGTAAGTAAATGTGTTTCATCTCCTGGTAAGATCAAGAAGGCACTACCATGAAAGCTTGTGAAATGGGTGTCAGAATCTTGGAAGAGAATCCCAAAGCAGCTTGAAGAAAATTCCAGAAGAAAATTACCTTCATTCTCCATAGTAGAGAAATAGTCATTGACAATTCTGAGTCAAAAAAATATTTGAAAACAGTCAGAATATGAATGTGAAGCAGTCTTAAGAATACCTTGACCAGTTTATTTCACTTTTAATTTTGTGTGTGTATGCACAAAAGTGGTGTGAGAAAAATCTACGATATGTCTAAATGAATCTAAAAAAGCTTTTTCAACAAGCATAAAATAGAACTATAAGGGATAAGGTACAGTGTCACAGTTTAATCAGCAGTATTTCTTCTACATGGAATATAACGGTGTGTCTTAATATCAATGGTGTCTTAGAGTTGATGAAATACCATGTCTTGAGTTTTAAATCTGCCACCTTCTTTTAGACTTTCTATTAGTTCTGCATGCTTAATGTTTCTTTTCTCTCTTTACTTGCCTTTTTTAGTTTTGACTGATGGAGAATTTTTTAAATATACTTTTTCCCGTCTTCTAGTTTATATTCTTTTAGTGTTTATTCTAGAAAAATCTAGAATAACTAACTTAGCGAAGTCTAAAATTAATTAAAATTTTTACTCTAATCCTTAATAAGGCCTCAATAAATGGTAACTGCTATCACAACAGAAAAAATGGAATGTGTTCCAGTACATTGGGTAGAAGATTAATGACACATTAACTTCTTTAAATACCAAGATAATGTCAAATGTGTCAGACATCCGTTGTAGAGATTTTTATGAACTGGAAAATATACAAATATCCATACAAGAGATGGAGAGATGAGAGATAAGGAGAAGCAATGGGAAGCAAAGGGGACTAACCTACTTTTCTTCCATTATCAGGTCAGTAAGTCTGGCCTTCTCTTTTCCTTTATCCCTCTCTTCTTCCATAAGAAGGATAAAGACCTAAAGAGGAGACATTGGGCTGAACTAGGCTGAAATAATAGACTGATGCAAACCAAGATAGGCTGATAAATTGCTTGTCCAAAGTAGAAAAGTGTGAAATCCTAAACGAGGCAGTCATCCCAAAACAGCAGGGAAAGCACTGATCCCAAAGTCATTAGAGACTCAGGAAATTACAAAGCAGAATTCCTGAGCCTCTCCTAGCATTCAGTAGATACAAAATAATCTCCCTAAATTCCTAAATCTCAAAAAGAATCTTGTCTCCCCTCCTATATCTTCACCAAATCAAAATTCCCATTCATATATAGGCAGCTTTCTTAGTTATTGATTCATACCAGTAGTTATCCAGATTAAGTTTATCTGCCACATATATGGAAACCCTGGTGGTGCAATGGTTAAGAGCTGTGGCTGCTAACCAAAAGGTCAGCAGTTCGAATCCACCAGGTGCTCCTTGGAAACCCTATGGGGCAGTTCTACTCTGTGCTATAGGGTTGCTATGAGTCAGAATCGACTCAATGGCAATGGGTTTGGTGTTTTGTCTTTTTTGCTACATATATAAAGAAACAAACAAACAAAAAACC